TCATGTAAATTCATCCCCACTTCTTGTCCCAAGTTTTTGAAAACATGTGTTATCAGACTACAAAATATGCAACTTTTAATTTTTTATTTTCCAAAAAAGATACAGTTTATTTTTGTTTTAATTATTGAGTTTTTTTAATTTGTGTACTAAGTATATGTTAAAAGTATATTTATTATATATTTTTGTTATTAATTTATATAAAAATTATGAAAATAAAATTTGTTTTCAATACCAATATCATAAGAACATTTTAATTGAACAATTAATAAAATTAAAATTTATTTTCCATCTAAATAAATGATAAAAAAATATAATAAATACATGCTTAATTATTTCTCTATTTTTTTTTATTACTAGTCCTAAGCCAAAAATGGAAAAAGCAAATTCCCAAGCTAATTATAAACAAAAAAACAATTTCAATTTCAACAAATTTCCTTTCTGTCAATTTGGGAATATGCTTTCTCTCCATTTACCAAAAAAGAAAAACAGGAAAAAAAAAAAAAAAAGGCGAGAAAAAGCTCTCTCTCCCCCCATGCTATAAGCATCTGGACTGGACTGTTCGTCCCAAACCCATTATCTTATCAAACGCCACCAAAATGAAGCACACCATTTCTTTACTCGTGCTTCAAATTGCCTTTTCTTCCATTTTTCTTCCGTTGGCTCTTGGAGACAATACTTTGATCCAAACAACCTGCAACAAGACACCTGATTCCAATCTATGCACCAAGGTTCTCCAATCTGACCCTCGAAGCTCCAGTGCCACAGATGTCCAAGGGTTAGCGGTCATAGCAACTGACATACTAGCAAAAAATGCCACAGTGACACTGCAACAGATTACATCCTTTTTTAAAACTGATCCGCTGTACAAGATGTGTTTTGAATCATACATCACTGTCAAGATTGACATTCAGGTGATTCTTGAGGGTGTTTCTAAAGGTAATCCCAAGTTTGCCGAACAAAGTGCCTCAGATGTTGTTACCAAGGCTGATACTTGTGGGAAGAGCATCCAATCTTTGAAGTCAGATGTTGGTGATAAGAACAAGTTCGTGCATGACTTGGCCCTTGTGGTTGCTGCTATTGTTAGGCTATTGCTTTGATAGTTGTAATTGTTAGTTAATAATTAATAAAAAATAGTTGATGCAAGTTTAAAAAAATTATAAGTTAATAAAATCAGATAAACTAATTAAATACAATAGTGAATTTTGTCTTGAGTATATTCTTATAATAAAATCTTGAAGTTTAATTTTTGAAGATAAAAAGCTTCAAAAATTCTATGACCTAGTTTATATTTTCCCATACAATAGCATAATTGCTACACTTAGGATAAATGAATGTCTATTTAATTTGAGGAATACGAAAAAATAGGGACGAAGATAAGGGAAATTATTATGTCAAATTAAAACACTCGACCCTCAACTTTTTCCCATTTCTCTTTAATCAAACTATCTTCACAATAACTATTGTAACATAGAAAGCACATCTAAATGTTGGATATTAAGAAATTGATTGCTACACCCTGTAAAATTACATATTCCGTTACATATTAACAATTTTTGTTACTTCTGCTGTTAAAGTTGATAGTTTTCATTACTTATGTAATTAAAATTGACAGTTTTCATTACTTATACCGTTAAACTTAACGGTTTTCGTCAATATATAACAAAATATGTAACTGTGTAGAATATATGTATCATTGTCCAAAAAAAAATTTATTTAATTGATAAGAATGATCACTCATATATATGATAACTAGATACACGTGAATTTATGGTAACTATAATCAATAATTATTATAATTTCATTTTGAAATTTAATGGTAAATTAAATTTGGTGCTAATTAATAGTTTTATTGTATTTTTTTTCTATACGCGATTGGTACAGAACTAAAGTGGGAAAATATAACGAGAATGATTGAGCTCCATTATTATGGCTATAATGGAGCTATTTAATTTAGCTTTTTCTCTCTCTTTTTTTTTTTTTTTT